GAAAAATCTATTTTTACAGGTCACATGCTCTTGCCATGGAATCCCCACCCCACAACAACTCTTTACTTCACTTCTTTTAATAATTAATTAAATTGATTTCTAAAAGATGTAATGTTATTCGTTTTAATTTTTGAAACAAATAAAAGTTACCACATAAGTTTTTAAAATATTTATTTTGTTCATGAAATTAATCTTTGAATTTATTAACGTAAAAACTAATTTAACAGACCAAATACATTTTTAGAAAATTATGTGATAATTTTATTTTTCAAATATTAATTTGATCAGTTTTATATCTTTTGAGCACTGAATTAAATGTTTACACCTTTTTCCATCATAAAATTAGGCATTGAATGAATTTACTGCTACATGTATTTTTTTTAAATCATAAATTTTGTATATATTTAATCATAAATACTTTGAAGTCACATACTACTATTGTCTGATTATATATATTTTTTCTTAAAAAAAACTGTATAAATATAATATTTTACATACACTAAAACTCTCCCTAAAGTATTGATCTTTTCTTATACAAATTATAACATACACTTCAATAATTTATTGTTTAAAATAAATATTATTCACTGCCATTATCATTTTATAAAAATTATATCAAATATAATAAGTCAACATGATAAATATTAGAGTAAATACCCTTTTTCGTCCCTCACAAATTCCACGAAGTCCTTTTTGGTCCCCAACAATTAAAAAGGGACATTGTGGTCCCTGAAATTGTAAAAAACAAGCCACGTTAGTCCTTCTGTTAGTGGGGCTCTAACATTGTTACTAACGTTTCTGACATGTACCGTTAAGTTGCTGAGTCACAGCGAAAAAAATCACCTGGACAAAAAAACGACGTCTTTTGATACCTTTTGACTTTTTTTTCCTTCTTCTTCTTCAACTTCATTTTGACGAAGCGTATAGATCGAACTCCTTTCTGAGCTGCACGTTGAGGGAACTCACTCCACCACCACCCACTAGAGTCTTTAACCCCCCTTTCAAGCACACATTTTTCTGCGAGGTAATCTATTCATAACTGCCCAATGTCTCTCCTTGTATATATGTCATCATCATTGTTCAAACTTATCATGTGGGTCACAATTTTTGTTTTCTCTGTAGATGATGGGTATGAAATTCGTAGTATTCTTCTGGATTTGACTGGTAGAAACACAGTCCCACAAGAATAGGTGGTTGTTGGACCACAAAAAATTTTCAGGAAAACAAAATCATATCAAATTTGTTGGAGGACACAAATGTGATAGCCACCACAAGCAACTTCTTCTGAGTATAGAAGTTCACTAATCAAGGATGGTTTTGTTGCATTGCCCCTCCCTTTCAAGAGCTGAATATTTTTATTGAAGAAGATATTAGTCATTACAAATTACAATTAGTAGACAATGGAGTTAAAAAAAAAAAAAACTAATCGCTACCAATTGAACCTACCAATTTGTCAATCCCTCTTTCACCAAAAAAGAAAACAGAACCATTTTCTGCAATGTTTATAAAAGGAAGAGCAACAACCAAGGGTTATACTCTTCTCCTGATAATCTCTTGCAACTTACCCCTCACTCTCAGCTTGGGACTCTTTCATATGCATCTCTCCGCTTTCACTGCTCAACTTCTACTTTAAAGGCTACCCTAGGTGAAGTTTTATCTTCTCTCTCACCTTGATACCCTCAAATTGCTTTGCTGACATAGTAATGAAAAGCAAGCAAACAAACAAGCCAATGGAAGGTGGGTGTTTGACAAGTTTTGTTCTTGTGAATGGAAACTTTGCAAAAAATAATGGGTTCAGTTCAGTTTAGTAGATTCTTCTTTTTGTAATTCTTTCTGACGAGTGTTGGTTGCATTTTCATTATAGAAAAAAAGAGTGGAGATTGGAGATGGTACCATTATTAGATAAATTTCTTCCCTTTTATGCTAATCAGTGTTAAGGATTGTGACATATGGGATTGAAGTTGGGGTATTTTCCATCCGTGTTCCCTTTAGTTACCTCCTTTTTGCTCAGGACTTTAGTTGGATTGGATGTTTTGAAGTTGACAAAGGCTAACGTTTGTTTCTTGTTTCCAAATATTTTGGTTTGCTGTTGTTGTTCTCTTCTCTAGATAATCTCTTGCAATGTGCATTTTCTCATCAGTAATATGCCCAGCAATGGCGGCAGAGTTTTGCAGAGGGTGGTGGTGAACTGTAATGAACAGGGATGGTGGTGGTGGATCCATATATCAGAGAGAACTTGCATCGGAGAGAGGAGAAGAAGAACGAAAAAAAGAAGTTAAAAGGTGTCAAACGGCGTCGTTTTTTTGTCCAGGTGGTTTTTTCTATCATGACTCAGCAACTTAACGGTACACATCAGAAACCAGGGGTGCGCAAAATAACCGATTCACTTGCCCTGCCATTGGTTTGACCTTGACCTGACCCATAAATACCTATTTTTTTTAACTGGGTTTAAATACTGACCCACTTTATTTGGGTCAGTTTTAGACCTGACTTGTTTTAATAATGACCCATTGACCCAAAACTTGACCTATACCCATTATGTGAAAAAAAGAATAAAAAATCACATTTACATTAAAAGAAAAGTTTTAACGTAAAACAATTACGTCAAAAACTTTTACGCAAAATATTTCCATCAAAATTTGTGACTAAAAAATATTCCTGTAAAAGAATTTGACGGAAAAAAAAAAAATTTGTCAAATTTTTTTACGGAATCTAAATTTCGTCAAAATATTTCACAAAAAACATATTCATCAAAAATTTCGACGAAATACATTTCCATCGAAATTTTTTGACGAAAAAAAGTTTCATCAAAATTCTTTACAGAATTCAAATTTCGGCGAAAGTTTTCGATGAAAACATTTTCGTTAAACTTTTTGACAAAAAAAAATTTCATCGAAATTTTTAGCGAACACATTTCCATCGAAAGTTTTCGACTAAATATTTTCGTCAAGTTTTTTAATGAAAAACATTTCCATCAAAATTTTCAACGGAACACATTTCTGTCGTAAAATTTTTTGACAAAAAATATTTTGATAAAAAATTTTGACGGAAAAAATACTGTCAAAATTCTTTAGAGAATCTAAATTTCGTCGAAAGTTTCGAATGAAACATTTTCCTTAAAACAATTTCCATCGAAATTTTCGCCAGAACAAATTCCCATCGAAATTTTGAACGAAAAACATTCCGTCAAATTTTTTGACGGAATTCCTTTTTCGTTTAAAATATTTGATGGAGGAAATCATTTTTGTCAAAACTTTTGACTGAAACTAAATTTCGTAGAAAATTTATTTTTGTAAAAATTTTCATCAGAGAAAAATTTTCGTCGCTTTTCGAGAAAAAGTATTCCGATAAAAAAATAAGTTTGTGACGGAATTTTTGTCGTTTGCAACATAAATTTTTTTGTGACGAAACCAAGTCAAAAACGGATCAGATCAGATTTGACCCACTTCAAAAACCAAGTCAGAAGAACTTCAGAAATCATGTTAGGTCAGATCCGACCCAGTTCTGAACTAGTTCAAAAAAATTCAAACCAAGTCAGACCTGACTTGGATCAAATTAAAGCGGGTCGGGTCAAAATACCTGACCTATAAAAATCAAGTTTGGTCGAGTTGGCACAAAAATCTGACCCGACCTGACTCATTCACAGCCCTATCAGAAACGTTAGTAACGACGTTAGAGCCTCACTAACAGAAGGACTAACTTGGCTTGTTTTTTACAATTTCAGGGACCACGATGTCCCTTTTTAATTGCTTGGAATCAATAAGGGCTTCGTGAAATTTGTCAGGAACGAAAAATGATATTTATTCTAAATATTATATAACTTGAGCTACCTTATAATGATTTGAGAATATGAATTTTATTAAAAGTATCTTGCGGCAAGAATTATACCATCAAATGTGTGATTATAAATTACTTTCATACTTAAAAAATAAAAGATAAAAATGAAAAGACATCTCGTAAGGTGAGAAGAAAAAAATGAAACATTAATTAACGATGAAAAGCAGTAAGTACCTAATAATCAATTGGAAAACGGTCTATAATAGTAGTAGAAAAACATCACCTAATTAACTTAAAAAAACGCATCTATGAAAGGTTTTATGATGCTTTTACCATAAAATATTATATATTATTAGATTTTAGATTGGCACTCAATTAATAAACATCTACCTTTCATTAAGTCAAGATACCAAAATCATGACAAAGAAATTGGACGGACATCATCCATATACCAAATTAATCACATAACGTGACAACTATACTATCCAAAAGTTGGATTGCAAAATCTCTTGTTCCCTCATAAAACTGCAGGTATTACGTGATTGATTTTGCCAGAAATAAAAAAAGAAAAGTACTTGTTTTTCTGAACATATTACTATTATTTGATTGGCTTTGGTGCATGGAAAACATGGTGGGCCATAGGCCCAACTTGAATTTCTATGCGGAAAGTGTATGATTGCATATTACCCCATAAAAAATGTACTCAACCTTATAACAATATACTACTTAAAATGTCTGGTCGTCGCTATCAAAGTACTGAATAATACTCATTTCCAACATAGTGAAAGTTTCAGTGTCCAAATCTACTAAAATTCAACCACTTAACCAAACACGACAATTCTGTCGTCTAAGATTGTTAGACATAGACATGCTTTATCATATAACAAAGGGGTAAAGATATAATGTTTTGAGAAGTTGAGGTTTACCTAAAAAGTGTTTCTCTTTAATAAATTCTGGGAATATCCATTTGGAGTTTTGGTCTTGGTTGTGGCTTGTTCTGAACAATTATGTTTAGAAGGCAATATCTAAAACACAAAATGTCATCACAACTTTTTTTTTTAAAAAAAAAAAATTTAATTTGTATGAAATATGGATTTAATTGAATTTTACATAATTACAATATCAGCTATCCATATGGTTATTAAAAAATATAGTTGCAAGAAAAATCCTTAGTTACATGTATGGTAACATCCTTAGTCTTTCTTGTCACAAACAGAGGGAAAGAGAAAAGAAAGAATGATGATAGGAAGAAAATAGAATAGCTGCAGTAACCTGCAGAAAGTATGTACTTTCAAACTAGTAATGACATTCATTTGAATGTTTATTTAATAACTTATCTTCGACAGAAAAAAAATAAATTAGTCTTCTTATGAATGAGGACTGCGTACATGCTAGAGTTTGACTGGTATACGAAGACCATCATAGCTCAGTTGTGCATCAAGGCCCTCAGACTCCAATAGTTTTGTAAGGTAATCATTCACTTCTTCATGATCCATAAGATGCATCATACCTTCAAATTGCCAATGAGGAGACATGAGAAAATTATTTTTCTGAAACATTTTGCTCTGATGGAAAATTGTAATGCTTGATCAATGAACTGAAGTAGACCGTTGCATCAAGAAAATCAAGACAAGAAACTAGAGGGAGCATCATGCTAAAGAGGGAATGGATCCTCTCATGTGATATGAAGTTATGTGAGAGGATATCAACCGAACCGTTCATGTACAAATTAATGATTATCCTTTTATTTTATCACTTTTTATCTTAATGCTTTTTTTATCACCGTTGATATGTACATTGATAATTGAGATACTTTCACGTGACATCATGTCACATGAGAAGATCTTTTCCCTGGTAAGCTAAACTTACCTGTAAAAAGTGTCCTTTTGGGTTGAATTTTTCGCACTTCCTCTAAGGCCTGAAGTGAAAGATCAGAATAAACTTTATTTCCTCAAGAAAAATTTAACAAATGTAAAAGAGATTACCCTTGGAAGTCCAAAATGTGTGGAAGTAGAGCGATCAGGCCTCAAAGCATCCTGTGGAATAATCATACATCTAATGAGCGAAAGAGAAATTGTACACCGTACTTCCAGTTATTTCATGTAAAAATGTGGACACGTTTGTGGCAGAATAGAAAGGATGAGAGGGTGAGTCACCAGGATTAAGATTTCACAGTCCTTTAAAAGAGGGTAAGTTTCTTCAGGAATTTCACTAACATCACTGTAAATTTAGACACAAGATCAGCTCCACATATATTGATGAAAAAGCTGGGCTGAATTATAACATAAGCAAGAACTTTTCCACTTAGTTAGACATCAGAAGCATTACCTTATGTAACATATATTACCAAAACGAAAACCAAGGGACCGATAACCCTGGCCATGCCACACTGGTAATGGGGTAAACTGAAGTACAATAATAAGAGGTGGGAAAAATTAGAGGCAAACCCTATGCTCAAGAAGGAACATGGTCAGAAGCAATAAGCTAGAAAATAGATTGATGAATAGGAAAAAAGTACTAAAAAAGTTCACGGGAAACTATTAAAACCGTTAATAATACTGACCTTCAGTCCATGCACAAAAAATGGTTCTTCAGATATGATATTGAATTGCAACTCTGAGACTGCAGCACCAGGTAAGATAACACTAGTATCTACTAAATAATAATGGGTCTTCTTCATCACCTGCATATTTCAGTAATGAATAGATGAATAACTTCCCCCAAAAAAATATCTCAGCAGTTGCTCATTATAGTAATAAATGGTGAATGAATCAGCAGATCATTAAAAAGAAAACCATAAGCTTTCATTTTTTTTCCCATTCCAGTCAGGTTATCAAATTGCAATTCAAATGGTGAATTCCCAAGCTAATTTTTGAATCGTGAATAGTGGACTGTACCGAATTATAAGATTCAAAGATATAATGAAAAATACCTTGAAATATATCATATAAATTAGGTACAATGCTCAATGTAATAATTTGAAACTAGGAATTGACAAAATAATTTAACCATAACTCTCTCAAAATAAAATTATAAGTCACAAGTCACAAGTCATAAATAAGTCACATAAAATAACTACGAGAAGCTTATGTTTTAGAAGAATGAAAAAAGAGCCATGATATAACCAAACAAGGTGCCTATAGAGTGACTACATGTGTGAAACAGCCTATATTTCAAAAAATGAAAAAGAGCAATAGAATAACCAAATAGGACGCATAGAGTGAGTGAGTAACTGACTATGTGAATCTCCTGTTTCAGAAGAATGAACACAAGGAATGGAAAAATCAAATAGGGTGCATTCAGCAGCGCTCCTTTACTTATTTTTTAACTTGATTTAAGCTTATTCAATTTTTTAATTTCTTTCATGAGAATTGATGAAAGCAAAGAAAAAACTAATGAATCATTGAATTGTGCGATTTGTTTCTGTAAACTTAATTTAACCGATTCATGCATATATTTCATGCTTCAAAACTATTTTTGATTCATCACATGATACAAATAATTGGCTTGCCGAATCATATTGAATCATGAGATTCAAATTGCAAATTGTAAGATTCTAACAACTATATAAGTACCATTGAGAGGAACTCCAAGCAAATATCTAAAAAGGATGACAAGTAAACCTCAAGAAATCAAGCTTGTTATGCTCCATCCTGAAAGTTAAAATATTTGAGAAGAAGGAAACTTCCCCTAAAACATTTCTTCATTTTTTGACTACAGATAACAAGCAGAAAGTAAAATAGACAACTTTGATTTAGAAGGGAAGCAGAAGGGAGAGCACCTCAAAGTCACGCTGGGCAACAAATATTGGAATATAAGGCTGAACATTGTTTGTCCAATCTCTAAGATCATCAAGACCTGGGGAGAAGAGAGGAATGGAGTTAGTCTATAAGGCCAGTCATATTTATTATTAATTCAGGCAAGCATTATACTTGACATATTGATATTAATTATCCAAAGAGTATTAGAAAGTATTAATGTCAGAGACCTCCAATTGCATCAGCATGTGAATGAGTAATAATAACCGCATCAATTGATCTTATCCTGACAGAAATACAAATAGTTATAGAGAGATTAAAAGCAAAGTAGAAAATTACAAGAAGAAAACCTGTAAGAACACCATCTACTTCATAAATTTAAGGCTTCTCAATAATCAAGAGATTCCCAAGAAAAAGCATTTAAAACCACCAAAAAATGCCAGTGATGTACAAGTTTTGTAATACTTTTTGTCTCTTAGATTGTTTAATATCACAATGCTTTTCATATTATCATGCAACCAACTCTTCCAAAAGCTTAAGCTGTCAGGTGAAAGCAGATGAATGACTTCATATTTTATATTATATTTTTTAATACAGATATTTGATAATCCCATTTATTTTGCATGAGTAATGATACTTGCACAAACTAACACTTGTGCACTCCTCACACACTCCCATGAGAGCCATTGGACAACACCGTGGTCCCACTATAACATTTTTTGAATGGTCCAAATTGTACATATACCTCAAACAGTTTGTGCAAGTGTCTTTTTGCAATTTGCATATGTCCTGGCCAAATGTTTTACTCTACCTCCAGTTCATTACCCTTGTTATTATGTTGCATCATAGCTTTTCCTTAAAGATAAAATATGGAGAGAGAAAAAAGGAGAAGCCATCTCAAGTAACAATGTCATAAATAGCTAAAGAATTGAACCTAAACTAACCCAAACGCAGGAAACCACCGGAGAGCACTTTGATAGAAAAATCTGCAACAAGTAAAAAAATTGTTACCAGCACCCAAATGAAGCAAGCTCATTGAACAATCATATCCGAGTTTTCCTTGAAACTGAACTCAAATGGCCTTAGTCCCATCTTAAAGTTTTAAAAACTAATATATTCATGGTTAATGACCAGGCTAGCAATATATTGAAGGAAAGCTAGAAATTTGATCAAGCTAGAGTGGTAACTTCATGTTCAGCAATTCAGTAAATCATTTATTATCTGCTAACTATTAATTTGTCCATGTTCCAGCAAAGTTTGGATAAGTTCAAAAAACAAAAGAAATACTGATTTCCATACTGGGGCAAACCTAAAACCATAAACAAATCACATATTTGGAATAAAAGGAAGAAAAAAATCATCCTAATTCATAATCTAACATAAGTACAATTCACATTAAATAGGGAATTCAAATCATACTTTCCAGCATCTATAAGAATATTGTGAGTTCCTGAGGAGTCGGGGTGACGAATGAGGATGCTTGTGTTAAGTCTCCTATTCTTATTACCCGGTTCGGCAGCTTTTGAACAAACCTGTAATAATCATGAAAAAAAGAAAAGAAAAAGAAAATCTCTCTTAACAACCAGTTTTCATTAAACCCTTAACATTTAATCTCATACTCTTATCACATATACCGGACATTTGTTTAAAGTATTAGTCAAACAGCTAACTCGTGGAACCCCTTCACTAGTTCCAGTCCCCATAAATATAACTTCTGTTTGTTCAACAGGTAATTCCACTCCAGCATCTCCATTAGCAGAAGCTGTGGTGAATTGAGAAGTCAACACAAATTTTATCTAATAATCAAATTTTATAAATAAAAAAAAAAAAACAATTTTTTTTTCAAAATATAAAAAAAAATTAAAGACAATATTTGCAACCGTGTTCCAATTCAAAGCATAGGTTAGGTTCCAATATCAAAGGGTAAGCATTACATACATTTCTAAAGGAAGAGAATGAGAAATTGAAAATGAAAATGAGCAAGAGACAGAAAAGCAATGGTTACTGGAGTAGAGGCGAGAATCTGCAATGGTGGTGGGGAGTGAGAAGGAAGAAGGACGCCAACGCCATGAAAATCGAGGCAAAGAGGTGAGGGAACAAGGAAGAACGCGAATGGAGGCAACCACCATTGATTCACTGTGTCTGTGTCTGTCACACAAACATGTTCCAAATTCGTTCCTTTTCGCTTTCTTCGTTAGTTACCACTAACCACCAAAACGGGAAACGCAAAGATTATGGAAAAATCATACAAGTTTATATCCTTTTAGATTCTAGTTTCGTCTATCAACGGTTATAATTTATTGAATTAAAATTATTAATTAATTAATGATAAATTTGGCCCATTAAGTTTAACCTAATAGATTATAACCGTTGATGGACGGAAATCAACGGTTAAGGTCTAAAAATGATATAAACTTATATCCTTTAAAAGGATAGATGTTTTTCAATTAATTATTTTATAAACAAATTTATTTGAAGAAAATCTTATTATAAAAAATAATTTCTTTTAAATTTTTATATTTTTTCAGATATAATATTTTATGTTAGTTTAAATGGAAATTCAATTCAATAGAATCAACGAAGTTTGGCTTACTTCCAATAATGAAATCTATATAACTGAGGTTGAATTCAGAACTTTTTCATTGATAAGTAATCATAATCTTATTATAAATCAGTGTTTAGTATAAAAATTTTGGATAGGAATAACTTTATCATCTTAAATTAATCGGGTAATCAGTAAATTAAAAATATTTGTTACCTTAAATTTTCTTTATCACCTTAAAAGAAATAAAAAAAAAATTTGTTTTTACGTTTTTAAAGAGCTCTTTGCATTGTTTAAGAGATAAAATAAATAAATAAATATTTTTTTCAATATATTACAGATTCTATAAAATTCTTTTTATTGAATATTTATTATTTGCTTTAACAGCCTAAATAGAAAAATCTTTAGTAGCTATTGCTCAAAATAGTGTTAATTACTTGATAAAAAAAAAACGAATAACTGATTATTACATATTCTCACTTTTATTTTGTGTGATATTCAAGAACTTTTCAAACTAAAAGAGTATGACTATTATGTACAAAGAGAGTATGACTATTTTGTTCCATATTATTCAAATTTGGACAAACATACTTTTATCATTTAACAGACATATATAATGAAACCAAAAACCTCGAATCACCTAACACAAAGTTTGATACCTCAAAGATATAATTGCAACACTTTTACTACAAATAATGGCAATATCTAGTACAAGGCAGCCATGTTTTTCCCACAATTCGATTTTGGGGATAAAAAATGATTACTTCTTCTTCTCTTCTTTTTGTCATACGAGGAATTTAATTTTCCTTCCTTGACCCCCTTGAAAGAAACCAGAGAAAATAAACAAAAATGGTCCATATTCAATTTTTCTTTGGTTGAGAAATAATGATAGTCATGATACAATTTGCAAAAAGTATTTCAATTTCTATTTCACTATAGCCTGTTTTTCTAAAACCAACCACATACACGAATACATCCCAATCTTTTCCCATTCAAACTGTACCAAGCAATAACCCTTGTTTACTTCATAAGGATATCCAAGTATTGGTTAAATTCCACCTCAGCATAAGCCAAACCTCCTGTGCATATAGTATCCATCAAATCCTAATACAAAAGAGAGAAAAAAAAAAAAAAAAAAATCTGGCAAACTAATTCAGAAAGATCTTAAAGTTGAAATATATATCCAAACTCCTATTATCAATAGTATCGTTGGTAAAGTTGATCCAAAAATATACCCACGATGGCTCATTCATAAATAGATGCATGTTTACATACACAAAAATTCAATAATGATACAGGTATAGCCCCAAGCACAGCATAAAAAGCAATAAACAAAGGTTTAATGACCTGTAAAACAATGCAAAAGGCTCAAACCTAACGGTTATCATCGTTCACAGTGATTTATAACCATATATGTCGCACAAATGAAAATAGGCAAGACTACAGAGCTGCATTCAAAGGGGGAAAAATTATTGAATCCTAGTAGCCAAACATTGAACTTGCAATATAACACTTTGACTCCTTTACACAGTGATAAAGTTACTTGAACATTTTCTAAAGAATTTTATGACACTATCCATTATTACTGTTAGCCATTCTACATTTCCTTACCCGTTACAACCAACATGCTCCAAACTTTTACAAATGAGTAAATAGTAGAGAGTCAACTTCGGCAACTTAAATGCAAAATTTAGGTTGTCATTACATCAAGATTGAAGTTGTGTTAGAACTTCACGATGCACTTAGTTTGTTTTAGGTTCTCATTCTCAGTTGATATGCTTTCAAAAATGCTACCTTGTTTTCACTTTGTTTCCTGCTTTCAAGAATTTACAAAGGAAATTGTGAAAACAAACCAAACGCACCGAAGTGTTGTGTCTTCTCTATCTGTGTCACGTTGAGAGTAAATGACAGAAATGATGCAAACAGAGAACACATTAACTAATTCATCAAACTTTTGAACATGCAAAAAAAAGTGAAAAACAGCAAATCCCTATGAACAAAAAATAAAGGCAATGAATATTGTTGTCTAAAAGTCTCGAGCACAGAAAAACTAAAGGAGCAAAGCAAATGTAAGACTTTTTAGAAACTTAGACATTGAAATGATCGATGGATTTGAGCATTATCCACAAAATTGGAAACTTTAACCAATCATTGGACCAATTTCAATTTTAGATATATGATCAGATAGGACAAACAAAGTAATATAATCAGCTTTAGATATATGTTTTGAAAAATCATTATTATTGTAAATAAAGAATATAAATTATTTCAGAATAAAGGGGATTTATGAATACCTTCTAAACGGTCATAATATCAAAGTCTGCGTGCTGAGAGCAATTGCGGAAGTAGGCAGTTATATGGTCAAGGTTGTTGATGAAGATTTTATATGTTGATCCAACTCTAAAGTTCAATGACTTCAATTTGCTAAAAGACAAACATTCTGGCTTTAACAAGGCTGTAGTCCCACAGGTAACCTGAAATTGAAAAAGTCACAATAAATAAATTAATCTTAGGCCAACCAAACTTACTTAATTTGAGAATTTAAAGTAGAAACCCATTCTCTCTCTCTCTCTCTCTCACCCACACACACTGTTTGCAGTCACATGTACATACAGATAAACACACACAAAGAGTTTTCTCCATACCTCAACTGTACAGAATGATAGCTTAACAGCTTCAGCATTGTGACGTCCCCGTAACACATTGATCAAACCATGTAAAGTCTCCACTCTTTTCTCTCGGTGAGGCTTTTCCAATCGATCATGTGGTTCATGAATATCAATGATCAATCCATCCAAAGAAGGAATACTAAACTCAAAAAAGGCACAAGGTGTGGAATACAAGTAGCTGAAATTGGTAAGCTGCGGAGCAGCAACTACAATCTTACATTTAAAGCGGTTGCACATCAGAGTCAAGTTACTGAGTTGGGGAGCAGATATCACAAAATCCTTAGGATTCAAATCTGACTCAAAGGACATTTCACTTAAGTGCAAATTCTTCAAATTGACACAATTAGTAAATGGATCCAAACAGTCAATTCCCGTATAGCATAGAGTGAAGCTGTTTAGATGCAAAGTTGTCAACATTGTAAAACCAAAAAGCTCAGACAAACTTGAAAATGGATTTGAAAAGTCAGCTGCAGCAGGATACATTGAAAACTGTTCCAGATGCAACATGTCCAAAGATTTGCAACCTAAAGGGGATGAGGCATTTGTAGGATGGCAATCTTTTAACTCAAGCCTTTTCAATGACTGGCAAGTAAATAAAGCCAAAGGAATTTCAACCGGCGGACTGCCAGAGGATTTTGCTCGAAGATTGATTCTGATTTCTTCAACACCATGTGATGCTGCATATTCGATGACTTTATTCAATAGATTTTGATCTGTTGCATAATCTACCCCAAAGCGATGGTAAATGAGAACTTTGATTTGAGAAGAATCGCGATGCGACAGGACCCACAACACAAATTTCTTGAAATCAACCAACCTAGTGAATGATTTGCTGCTGAAGTTCAGGCAGGGAATTGAAGTCCAAAGATACCTCCACCTTTTTGATAAAACACAAGTTCGAATGGCATCCTTTGTTTCCATAAATGACAGAATATGATGGATAACGCAATCTGGCATTTCACCAAGTCTGTCCTGACATTCTGCCACTTCACAATTATCTACATTTTGAGAAGCCAAAATTGTGTTTTTTGACTTCTTCAACACAGGACCAGATTCCAGAAAATCAGCTTTCTGCATTGCAGCTTCACAGCACTCAATGGAATCAGTGGGGTTGAAGCTCTCAATCATATTCCCATCAAATCATTACTCTACAAATTTGAAATGATCCAGTTATTAGCTTATTGGTTCAGCAGCAGTACTCCTCTACGTAGAATCTAACAAAACAATAAAATAGAAAAAAATCAGCATATTAAGATAAGAAAAGTTATCCATATCTAAGAAACACGAACAGTCAAGACGAGGAATTGGAAATCAATAAAACCTCTCTTTATCTCTTTGACCCAATCTCTGGCTCTGATAATTGAAACATGACACTAAATAACTTGAGGCTCCTTTAATAACTGATAAATGCTCCACAATTTCTATATTTACCAAAATTTCTCGGTTTGAAAACTATTCCTCAAACCCAATCCTCAGAAACAAACATAACCCTCAGAAATCAGAAACACACTAAAGACTCCAAATTTCATGTAAATAAATCAAACCCCATAAATAAAACATCCAAGCCAACCAATTTCACAGGGTCAAGAACAATCAAGAAGACAACTTTACCATCCCACGGTTGGAAAAGTCACACAAAGGCACACCCCAACATATTGGCAAATAAAAAAATGAAATAAAAAATTAATGGGCAATTGAAAAAAAGGGAAAAGGAAGGGAATTTTTGCACCTGAATAAAGGTCCTAGGAAGACGATGATGATGTTGATTATGGGGCACGCGCGTTGACAAAGGTTGAAGGATGACTGTGTCTGAAATTCTGGGGAGAGCTTTTGTTTGTTTGTGTTGTATGTAAATGTAGGCAATGGGAAATGGTAGAAGAAGTGAGAGACTCTCTCACTTCAGAGCTTCCAATTAGTTAATTCCCTCATTTTGTGGCTGCGACCAAAGTGGCTCTCTTTCTTTCTCTTTGGGCTTTTTAGTTTTCTTTCTCTTAATTCTTCCACTAAAGGAAACAGAGAGGGCAAAAAAAATTAAAATAATGTTTCTACAATTATATCATTTATTTATCTATTTATAAAAAAATGTCAATTTAATGTGAGAGATTGAGAGGGGGAAAGGTGAGTGGCATGATTTTCCATTAAATATTTCTCCTTAGGCATATATTATGCACATAATAATTACAAGATCCGTTGGAAAAAGGTCTCTCTTTGTCCACTTGTTTAGGGTAAAAGGACTGAAATATAAGTTGTGTGTAGAAAAAAAAATTGAGCTTTGAAAACTCGCCTTCATATAAAGAGAAAGTGTCGTAAAATATTTATGTGGAGAGCCTGACTTTAATAAATATTTTAAGTTTTGATATTATTTTTTTATTATTAAAAAATTAATGTCAAATCATTAATCGTGATCTGTGTCTTTGGTCATTTTTTGAAGTAAATATAGTGTTATTAGTTAATCATTGATACGATCGTGGACATAATTACCGCTAACATAGGCATAATAATTTGGGTCTAAAAGGCTCATGATCATGGGCATAATATTTAGCATTAGGGCATGTTTGGTACATAGTGTAAGATAAAGCTTGATAGTATAAGACCTAATAGTATAAGGTCTGATTGAAAATACTATCCAGTGTTTGACAGATATTGTATAAAATAATATCATCTAGTATTTGGTAATGTACTGTGTAATACTATATATGATAAAAATAAATATTTTTAATAAAAATATCCTTTAATAAAGAATTTATATAATTCTTCAAAAAATATCATATGATATTAATTTTTATAAAAATTTATTGATTAGTGTGTCCAAAATATAAATTAATTTTTATAAAATAAAAATATTTAATATTTTAAAAATTAATATATTGAAAAATTAATTTTTATTTTAATAGATTAATATTAAAATAATATATTAATTTTTGAGAATTACATTGGTCAACGATGTTAATACATCGATCTCTTATCAGGTCTTATCCCTCACCCTTAGGCCGGATTAAGTTATACATCGTTTTGATGTATTAAGGAACTATGTTGTATAAGTTTATACTATACGATCTTCACCCAAACAACTGAAGATATCATAACGTATAGTATAAGCTTATACTATCATGTCTTATACGTCTGTTGCGAAAAATCGGTAAGTGTACCGATCGTACCAAGTAATAAAAAGTGAGAAGAGTATCGTCTCCACAGGGATTGGGTTGAATATCAATTAATTGTTTCTTTTAAGAATGGAAGAACAAGAGTTGATTTGAAAGTAATAGTGGTTGTAACAATTGGGGACAGTGACCAAAATGCCACGCTTTGGCAAAAAAATTATCAAAATGCCACGCGAACAGTAAAATTTCCCAAACTGCCACGCGGCATAATTCGCTACACAGTGTAGCGAATTATGTATGCAAGTAATTCGCTACACAGTGTAGCGAAATATGCCACGTCAGAATGCACAGAACCAAAAAGTGTCATGTGTCAGAATGTTGAAATTCGCTACATAGGGTAGCGAATTTCAACAATTTTGACACATGGCACTTTTTGGTTCTGTGCATTCTGACGTGGCATATTTCGCTACACTGTGTAGCGAATTACTTGCATACATAATTCGCTACACTGTGTAGCGAAATATGCCGCGTGGCAGTTTGGGAAATTTTACTGTTCGCGTGGCATTTTGATAATTTTTTTGCCAAAACGTGGCAAAATGGTCACTGTCCCTAACAATTGTGAACTATTCAATATTTCGTGAACAATTCAAAGAGAAGATTGAAAACTTAAAATCAAAAGTTGAGAATTGAGAAAATATTGTAAAGAAACTATTGCAGTAGAGGACTCCAACACCTTTCCGATCCCCACCTTGTAATAATGATTAATATTTATGTTTAATTACCCAATTGATCAAACAATTCACCATCTATAATTAATTAGTTAAGCCCTAATCCCTTAGTAATCTTAACCTTATTAACCCTATTAGAATCTTAATCCCTTAGAAATCCCTTTTCAAGTTAATCTTTAAGCCCAGTGAATTTTCCACGTTTGCAGTTCATATAGCCTATCCCTAGTGCATACATGAACAGTTATCTTACCCTTTGTCAGGAATTAGAATCCCAATATCCATATTGCGAACCCTAACCCTCGCAATCCTAATAGAGTCGCGAATTTTAAAAGAATTATGGGATAAAGAACGAAGTAAAATAAATTCAATTGAATAATTAACCATAAACTTAACCAAAATACAAGGGGTTCACATCAAGGGTTGGACCCTTACCACAATAAAAAAAACTAGCCAGACATATTCATGTCTGACAATTTAAATAATGAGAAAGAATTCATGAAAATGTAAAACCGGAAGAAGAAGAAGTCTTGAATCTTCAGTCACCGAGAGCTTCCTCTCCAATTTCTCCTTGCCAAAAGATGATTTTCTTTTAGAGTTTCTGCTTCCTTTATATAGCCAGCAACTCAATCAGGTCATAATCCTTGAATTAATTCTGATTAAGTTTCCATTTTCCTCATAATTCCACCAATCAATCAGGTCATAATCCTCTAATTAATTCTGATTAAATTTCCATTTTTCTCATAATTCCACCAATCAATCAGGTCATAATCCTCTCATTAATTTGATTAAATTTCCATTTTCATCAAACTCCACAAATCAAGGAATGCATTCATGACGCCCGCGTGATCAGTGCCAAATTCCCGACTCCACAAATCAAGGACTGCATTCATGATGCCTGTGCGATCAGCGCCAAATCCGCGCGGACAAACAGAAAGTAATTTGCCAAAATCACGCGGATCGCGCCATTTTCGCGCGTTTTGCGCGAGACTATGCAATTTCAACTTCTCTCTTTCACTTCTTTTTGGTGTTTCCTGCTATCAAAATGCATAAATTGAGTGAGAGAATGATTGAGAAGGAATAATCAATATTTCTTGTATTTATGAGCTTATTTTCACCATATGTTAGACGCATATCAACGTCACACCAAACATGCCCTTAATGATTGAGACAGGTTATTCTGCCTACTCTCATTCTGCCTACCTTTACCTACCTTTTTGATTACCGTTCGATTATAATCTAATCCAACGGTCCATATTTGCCAAATAAAATAAACCATTTTTCTCCTTTCTTTCTCCTCTCTTCCTCTTACACCCTTTCTCTCTCCTCCTCTTTCTCTCTTCCTCGGCGCCATACCTATTTTTTTTCATTGCTGGTGTCTGTCACCGTGGACCTCTTTAACCCCCCACCCTCTTCAACTCCATGTGAAGTGAGAAGCTATTCAATTTAAAAAAGAATTTGAAAAACAAAAAACAAAAACCCTTTCTTTTTCTGCATATCTATCCAAAGCGGCGGTGCCACAAGGTGGGTTCTTCATTGTCGGCTTCTAATAGCGAGAAACACAAGGCAACACAATGCAATAATATCCAAGAGGTTTCAGGTTGTTTATGAAGAAAGTGAGGTATTAAACGGTGGAGGTTTTGGAGTTTTTAATAAATTTAACAACCTATATACTAAAGAACTCATTAAATTAATGGTAGATGATGATGTAATTTTTTCATCTATACGAAAACAGATTAATTTTCGTTTTGGAAGAAGTGATTTTAGTTACTAGAATTTTGGATTTTCGTCGCTAGGAAGAGAGAAAGGGGAGGAGAGAGAAAGGGTGTGGGAAGAAACGAAGAGAAAGAAAAGAGGACAGGGTTTATTTTATTTGGCAAATATGGACCATTAGATTAGGTTGTAATCGAACGGTAATCAAAGTGGTAGACAAAGGTGGGTAAAATGGGAGTAGGCAGAATAACCTATCCCTTAATGATTAATTTGTCTGGTAATTTGTTACGCATAGTTATTAGGGAATGAGATCCAAGTATTTGTTAGGAAATTATTATTATGTTAATAGCCTTTTGTATTAGTTACTAGTTGTAAAGTGTAAAGGTGGTTGTAGATATAATGTATGTTTTGATGATAACAAAGTGACAAAAAAACATTAATCAAGAGCAAAAAGCATTAACCATGTATGGGGATTGAAGATGCATGTCAGACCCATACAACAAAATTAATGACGTCAAAGTTGCAACAACATGAATGAGCTTTGAGAATAGCAAGGAGTCAAGAGAAATTCAATCAAGTCTAACAAGGAAGAATAGCAAAACTAAGGTCAAAGACAACAAATCATGAACAACATCTAAGAGAAGATCAAATATCACAACCATGGTGAAAAAAGAGCAAAACAAACAAATTGTCAAACATTGTTATATCCAACAAGTCAAAATATCAAGCTCAAGTAAAGATCTAAGACACAAGACATGAATCTAAGTCGAAAATCATATTTAGAATATATCTTTAGGACTTAGACTTATATGTAAGGGTATATGGTAGATTGCATTATATGAGTTCAAAATTTTTCTCAAAGTAAACATATTTTTCAAATTGCATAATCCATAACCTTTAAATAGTTTAAAGAAATTTGAAAAACTCATGGAAAAGATCTTTGACATGTTTATAACTTCAAAACATATTTACCAAGTCAAGATCTTTTATAAAAAGTGGTTGGAAAAGAGGTAAAACACATTTGAACTTAAAATTTGCTACATAATTTGGTTGTTGTTTTCCATACAATTTTTCGTATCAAATACGATAGATTTGGATCTTGTGTTCTTCGTAAAAGTTGTATATCTCTTTTTTATCTTTCCAAAGATACCAAAATCACATCAATCTGACAAGTATAACTGAAGTTATGCCTAAAATACGAAACAATGTTCGTATTGTCATGTTGGGAATCAACTACCAGCATATAGTAAATGATTGCCGCTCTTTGGTAACTGATTATCACTGCGATAGAATACCTATAACGGTTATAAACAGCTAGTTTTGAAAAAAAATCATTATATATACATTCCTAATGACTCCAGAACCAATGGGGCATCATTCCTACTAGGGG